TGACGATGATAGCTTCCCAAGGCCACTTGCGCTCATAGCCTATCGCGACGACGATGTTACCGATGAACATGATGACGACATAAGGTATCATGGCTGGTAACCGCATCTCCGGCTCACGTATACCATTGTTCTTCCTGGTGCTCCTTGCAGACACCCAGTCGCTGAGCGGACCAGCAGTGAAGAGTCCGATGAAGGCACCAATCATGATAGCGAAGTTTGTAAATCCGACCGTCATTGGCTTCATGTTATATGGGGGTAGGGCGAGGACTTGGCTTTGTGTAAGGTTGATGGTGAGGAAGCTGGAACATGACCAACTGACGACAAAAGCGGCGAATTCGACAATGGGGAAGGCGAATAGTTTCCAGGGAATCCAAAGATCGAGAAAGATGGAACGGAACGGGTGGGCGTTTGGTTGGAAGATCTTCCACTGCCATTTGCCAGGTTTACCGCGGCCAAGAAAAGGGTCTCGCTGAGCTGTCTCGGACATCTCTAGGCCCGCCGTGTTGGGTAGGACGGAGTTAGCTGTGTTGATGTGCTGGATTGGATTCGTCTCTTTCTCGCTGTCGGAGTGGTTGATGTCTTCCTGGGTAGTCGCTCGTGTCTTCTCTTCTAGTGAACTGGGTTTCTTCTGTCCCAAGTGCTCGGGCAAGGCGCGCTTGAACCTTGTTTCTGGGAACATAAAGACCACCATCAAGAACGAGAGGCCGAGGATGCCGGTATTGAGCCACCAGAAGCTGCGCCAGCCGACCGTCTCAGTCATTGATCCAGACACGATGGGACCGACCATCAGCGAGCCCATGTAGACTACCCAGTAGAGAGTGTTCCACTTCCCACGGTCGTGCAAGAAGAAGATGTCGGCGATGATCTCGGGCATGATGGTCTCGGCCGGTCCAGCGCCGATGCCATTGAGAATGCACGCGCCCATGAACGAGTTGTAGGAGTTGGCCTTGGCGCGCCATATCGAGGTACCGAAGTTGATGAGTTGGGATGCGAGATACACCGGGCGACGACCGAACGATGTGCTGATTGGAACCCTAGCATTACCCATTAGTCTTTGGCGTCTGTATCATAGTTTGATGCTACTCACCAGATGAAGTTGCTAAATCCCAGTACCAAGATGCAAACACCAGTGAATTGGACTGCACCTGCCAGATCGGTATTGAAAGCTTCTATCAGTGCCGGAAACATTGGTGCTAGAGCCAGTGGACCAAATCCCTGCGTGAACGTGGCCATTGACGCCGAGATGATGCATGCCATCTTCCAACCGGTACTCCAATTGAGAGGATCGTTGGGATCATCGCTGGGTTGTGGGACGAGAACTTGGCGGTGCGCTCCTTTGACGAAATGGTGTGAGCCTACATCTGCCATGACCTCCGTGCCAGGAAGGATCTCTGTGTGGAGCTCGGCTTCGAGCTGCCGGCGTTCCTGCATCGCTTAGCACTGGGCGGTATCAATTGTATCGGAGACTTACATCTTCATTATAGTCGTGTGCCTCCATCGTGATCGAAGCAACTGGTGTGTGAGAGGCAATGGTTGTGCTCAGACCAAGGACGCAGCGAGGTACTTGTATCGCGTGTTGTACGAGCAGGCGCACTTCGCGGGCCTATTCTGACTCAATCTGGAATGTCGGTGCTATTGCGATTCGACTTTCGAAAACCAGCCGGAGTGCAAGTCAGACGTGGCTTGCCATGGAGCGCGTGAAGATGTCGGCAGGATAGCACCGTGAGCACCTCTCGTGATCCGGCAATTGTAGTCGGAGCAGAATCCAAGACAAAAGGTCACTAAAATGTGTAGACAACGGCCGGATGATCCTCCGCTGAGCGTCTGGCTACTTATCGCCCAGCCTGATTTCCAACAGCCAGGTTCTCCGCATCTTCCACACGTGAAGGACCTGCGTGCCGTCTCATCGTTCATAGCACATCATCTACGGCACATTTTGGCGCGCGCTGTCCAGTCATGAGCCTTGAGCACGTATTAGCCTCTGTTTAGCCCCGGTACGTCGATACATACCCATGTTCGCAGCGCTGTGATCTCGACCCAGGTTCCGGGATCGAGCGGCAGCGGATGAAGTGGGCGGCAAATGTCTTTCGAGCACGCTCAGCCACGCTGCGCAAGTTCAAGCGAGGGTTAAGCTGACCGCACGGGAATTTGATCGAAAGAGTGATGGTTTGGTGATCGTGAGTGAGGTTTGACGACTTGTGTAACTGCCGAGCCACGCTACTTCGCGCTACGTCACTAGTGCGATGCGGGGAAAGTAAGGGGAAGCCGCCACGAGAAGACTAGAACGCCGAGCTTACGACACCAGCATCGACGGTCCAACATCACGACAGGGAGCTCCTGCTGTTCTACTGATAATATCTTCGTTGTGTCTAGCCTATCGCGCAACCTCACTACGCCTCAGGCTTCAGCGGCGCGGGTCGTAAAGAGCATGTTTGTCTCCAGGTATCCCAGTCCTTCTACCGCCTATCCCTCTAAGTGTTCTGTGCCTCAATCTTCGCATACGAACCGATCGTGTACTTTGGGGTCGTAATTCATGCGGCCTGTAGGCCATGGGAACTCGAAGTTAGCTATCTCGCCGTAGGCAGGCGGACCGAATTCCTTCCACCAGTGGCACGAGCGCTTGCAGAAGCACACAGGAGGACTGCAAGAGATGGTCAGAACACACACCGGCAACAACAGTCTCAAGCTGGAGGGAAACAGGACTTACAAAGGTCGCCGCAAGTAATCTGACATGATTGTCAGCCTTTCAGCGGAAAGGTCGTGAAGCGTGCCATTGCGCTCATCATGCAGTATTGCCTCCCACTTAGTACGTGTGCTGAGTTTCACATGTCCGGACATAGTTACTGATGGTATCTGTCGAAGGTCCTCCAGCGCCAGTGTGAAGAACCAATCCAGTAGTGTCTTCTGACAGGAGATCAGGTCAGTAGGATGGCTCGGCAACGACCGAACCCAAGGGTCGTGGGAGAAGAATTGATCCTCGATACCTACCCTCTCTATCCATCGGGGGAGAGAAACCTGGAAATGCAAATGGAGGCGAGCTAACGTCGGGATCTTCCCAAAGACTCGAATCAAAGCTTGACCTGGCCACTCCACTTGGCGTTGGTCATCATAGCCCAGAAACCTGAAGTAAATGGAGTTGGGAAAACCGAGAGAGATGTGACGGAGCCATTTGCCTTGTAAACTAGGCAACACCTCTATGAGCGTCCAAGGATCCCGAAAATGCGGCACAGTCGATGTCACGGTAAACTTGCGGAACTCGGCTCTTACCTGCTTACAGATGTACTGTATGTTGGTGTTGATCGACGCCCAAGGTCGTTCATTTCCGATGGGATCGAGAGAGTACTGAGAAGTCCGTGCGAATGCCATACAGCGGTTAGTGTACGCTGTATACGTTGCCTGGCCGAAGATTCTCAACGGACTTCTTAACGGGTGTTCATGGTATCCTAGCTTTTTGTGAGGCCAGATGTAAAGCCCAAGAAGCTGTCTGTATATCATCGAGCGAAGTTCGAAAGGCAAGTCCAACAACCTAAAAGCGCGGCCATTCGCCTGCCACCAGCACTGTTGGCTGTTGTCAACAGCACGTGGAGGTAGTGTCGCGAGCTTTGCCGTGAGCCAGTTTCCGAATGAAACCCATTGATATGAGAGCTGAATCTCTACGTCGCTCAATAAGGTTGCTACTGGACCGCATGTAAGAACCAATGAGGGTCGTCGGCGTATCTGTAATGCATTTGTCTTGCCAAGTTCCCCAGATGTATGGCGCGCGAAGAAGGTTCCGTCTTGAAGCGACTCCAAGGACATGTCGGCGATCGAGGTCTTCCTCCATACATCGAAGTCGATCTTGCGCAACTCGAGGAGACGGTCCTGTAACATACGGTAGTCAACGAGCTGAGAGTCGTGTCAGCCTAGTATTCGAGTAACGTTCACGTCGCACGTACAAGCCCGGTCTCGTTGCTAAAGCCCTTACATTTGCACCGAACCTCAACCCAATCACGTAGAGGACGCCAGCTACGGCGCCCGCGGACCTGGACACATGCTAGAGGAGATATGTCTGCTATGTCTGACTTGTTCGACAACGATAGATCATAGCGTATCTTGACGCGAGGGGTTCCTGGGCTTGTACCAACGAAGCTATAGTAGCCGGAAGAAACTTGTTGGATCTTTCGCGGAGACACCTTGAGCCCGACCGTTTTCGCGTGGAATGTGGCGCATCCGCGGCGCTTCTCGGCAATGTACTCGTTGATAGAGGCCGAGATCAATTCCTTGAAATGTCAGTGTCGCCATACAATAACGTTGTATGAGTCAAACTTACTGCTTCTCCGACCGCATTGGGAGCTTCCTGACGACTGGAGTGTTGTGACATTTTGCCGCCAGGTCTAGGGGTTGAGTATACAGCGACTGGTCATAGTTCGGGAAGGAGTGTGATGGACAGAGGTTTTATATACGCAGGCGAAAAGAACGGCCAAGTGTATGGCCCTTAGGCAGCGGTCTGTGTGAACAATTACGGTCTCCCTCATACTGTGTCAGTGCGTCAAAGCCTTCTTGAGACCCAACACGGGTGAATTCAGGGTACAAGCTGGGAGCTTGTAATTGCTTGTCGACGGGATGATCTTATATGGACTGCGACCGTAGTATGAATCGGCGACTACTAGTTCTCGAGCCTGCACAAGATAGTAAGATACGCAAAGTAAAAATAAAGTGCGGATCACGGGCGAACAACGCACTAAGTGGGAAGTTTGCTGTGTAGTAATAAGATTAGAAGAAAGGCATAGTAGAAAGCGGCGCGGTAAGTCTTTTCGCACATTTCATGGAGCGCATTTCGAGATTACGAATTATCGGTTGCTAGTACGACAGTTGCGTAGGACATCTACATCGCATTCGTATTGTCTGAATGTGTTCATTGAAGGCTATTGTAGGCTACATAATAGAGTACGGCCTACTTGCGTCAAGACCAGACTCCGCCAAAATCCTTTACTCCTTGGATGCATTCACGTCATCACCTCTTAGAACCAGGAAGACTCTACGGTAGCATTTCCTCCATCCTCCGCCAGTGCCTCTTTCGTGACACCGGTGGGAAACTCTGGCGCATGCTTGCCCTTTACCCACCTCGCGAAGTCTTTATCCATTCCATGAAATCTCCTCATGCCGCAAGTCTCGAGGCCGTCGGTGATGCACCTCATGTCCTGGCAGACATGCCCATAGATGCAATCGATGCGACGGCATTCACTACCCATATTGCAAGGCTTCCTCCTGACTGTGTATTCAAGCACCTTGCGAACCTGGGTACTGATATCCGAGTGGTCGAAAGCGCACAAGTCCTGGTAGTGGCATACGTTCGCGAGATGGAACCATTTACAAGGCTGTAGCTCACCAGTATCATACTTCTTGGAGTACGCTTGTTGGGCTATGAAAAGAGGTCGCTTCATGACATAGTCGAGGCGTTGTCCATCTGCGTTGACGGGTACGTGGCCGGGAATTGCGTCGCGCTGCTGTAGAAGTTGACCTGTTCGACGATACGCATCCGTGGTGCCGTCCGATGCAGTAGAGTCAACATCGTCATCGCAGCTGGTGGCGACATGATCTTCAAAGGAGGCCTTGTTGCTGATCAAATTCTCCACCAGCTGCTTGCCAACCGAGTGCGAGGTAAGCGAGGAGAACAGATCCTTCCCTTCGGGCTTGCTGAAGACTTCCGGGATGCTGACAGATTTGTATGACAGACGAAGCGACTTGGCACCTGCGCCCATGGCCTTTCCGTGAACTAGCGTCACATTTTGGGAAGGTGTCTGCAGCATTGCGAGGTAGACAGGACGCATCCAAGCGGCGAAGAAGACGTGCTTGCAGTTCGGGTCATGGCGAGCAGTTTGGAAGGTATCTGGTTGGTAAAGTAAGCATTATGTATACGAAGCTGCTCGTTTTATGTGAAGCATAACCCACGCCAGAGGTATACATTGCGTTGCGATGTATGCTTTGGCAAGACACAGCTCAGTGTATACCTCCGGGGTGTAACATGAATAGGGTACGGTTTGTAAGATTATGTATTGCAAGTGTCACTCACCAGCGACTTTGACTTCCACGATAGCCTCGTCCCGAACTCCGATGAAGTCGAAATAAGGGTCCATCGAAGAGAACTGGATAGTAAATTGCTGCAGCGGGCAGAGGAGATCATTCTCCAGCTTGGCAGAATTGGCGTAGACGCGAACCACCAATCGAGACGTGCGAAGTGACGCAGCTGATGAGATTTCGATCAACTGTTTCCTAATCGCGTCGTACAGGCGATTTCTGAGGTTGTATGGTCGATCGCGGTCCAAGGCGGGGTAGTTCTGGTTGGAGGACTTGTTGAAGATCTCGTTGATGAACTAAGAAGCAGTTAGCATTGGCAGTCTGGCACAATGACTGGGACGTAGAAAGACTCTCGTTATTGGAAGTTGTACTCTACCCTGGAGGTTTTCAATGCGATGTATTTGATGCTTTGTTAAAGCGCAATACGGCGTACAGCTCCAGGGTGCGATATACATGGGTAATGCAACTTACTGGATGGCTATGCGCATCGATCAAGACCAGCACATAAGAGTTCTCTAATGAGTAGGACTGCTCCAAGACAACTGCAGCCTCTAAGAGCAGGCTCTTTGACGTGTCCTGGGTGTTCTCGTCGCCGTTGGCGAGGCTACGCAGGCGTGCCGACAAGTCAGCGAGTTTCTCGGAGTCGGCCATGTTGTTAAGGTAGTCGAAGAGAAGAGAGGATGACTGGAGGGTAGCTGTAAATCGTTTACAAGATCCAGGTCAACACGCGTCGCTTTTCATCTTCACCATTCACCGCGCCAAGGCGGTGAGCGTGCGGCGATCGACCGATTAGGAAGTCAACATAACAGACGCGACGAAGACGCTCGAATGGATCGCAGTCAAAAGCGGTAGAAGCAGATGGAAGCAATGGTAAAGAGAAGTAACGCAAGAAGTGGACCTGTCGACCACACGTGAGACTGTATAGCAAGTTTGAAGGCACTATTGAAGGTCAATGGTGGTCGAAGATAAGGCCTTGAAGGCCGTACGTAGTACGACGTCGGAAGCACTGCATATCTTGACGCAGTGCCAATGCTATCTTCAGTACCAAGACCTAAGTATCGGCCATCTTAGCTGAGCAGCTTCTCTTCGCATGCTTGATTTGAATATCTCTTTCTCCCTTTCTCGGCAAAACGAATAGCTTTCCAGCAAGCATATGCAATGAAGCACCGTTAGCGGCTCGTGGACCCTGGGAGTATCTGCGTCTACCTAGTGGGCAACATGGCGAGAGAGAACGGTCCTCAAAGATTTCCATAAAATGCAACGAGATGGCGTGAGGATGTATCTGTTGAAGCGCAACAGAGAGAACTACCCGGGCGGTCGGCATCACCAGCGCTCTAAGATGATGATCAATGACGTCATCACCCTTTCCTTTTCCCACAATCCCAGCCACACCGATCCGCGTGGCTGTTCCTGCTTCACCATCCACATCAACAACATTAGAGTACCCTCTTTAATAGCATACTAGACTCTTCGCGCCACGCTTCGATATACTCGCATCAGTCTGCCCGCGTGGGCGGAATACTTGCCCCAACTCCTCTAGGCCAGCGTAGCACGCTCTTATGGCGAGAGCAGCCACCTGCTCACTACGCGCGAGTGCACACACCAATAACGATTGCCAACTCGTTTGCGATCATCGTACGGTTTTTTCGGAAGCACGGCAACTGCCCAGTGTCATTGCTAAGTAGCCCTTGAACGTCTCGCTACGCCGTTTGATGTTATCGGTATCGCCATCGGCTCTGCTGCGTTGCGACAGGCGCTGCTTCAACATAGACCCAGAACAGTCAAAGACTATAAGAAGGTCGATAGAACCAACATCCCGTTCAAGATACTGCTTGGTCCAGTTTTTGCGAGATTACTGGTGGTAAGCGTGCGAGCCTCGTTTTATTGTGGTCTAGTGCCTATGAAAGCATCATCCAGGAAGAACGTCTCATTTCACCATCTGGAGCACTCGCACCCACTTTGGTTCCTTTCGGTCTAACGCAACCATTGCGAATCTCTGCATCGATAATACTCGTGTAGGGGCTGTCAGGCTGAGTGGCATCTGCCTGCAGAACGTCTCCTACGCTCAAGTGCGCACACAAGAATGTGGCTGAGTTGGCCGTACGGAGTAAGCTCGCGGAACCGGGACCCCCGAGAACGGATATCACGCGCAGATTCCTGTGTGCAACCTCATGAATACCCTGCGACTTGTCCAAAATACTAACCTATTCGGCATGGAGATACAAGGTTACTTGTGTGTGTACTAGCCGAGATTGGCACACTAGGGCTTCATAGGTCAGCATGCAGTCAACCCCCGGCGCGCGCCCTTGAATGACTCCACATTTCGCGAACGCAGTCCATTCCATGCGTCACATTGGCGCGGCTGTCACCACTTCCGTAGTCCACTCCTTCCTTTCTTGAATAGCACTGACTATCCCTATGTCCCTACTGCGCAACATGGATACCTGGTCCTCAAATGTAGAAGACGATTCGACTGTCGGTACTGTGTCGCTTGGTATGGTGGTTATTGATGAGATCCACCTGCCAAAACGATCGCCTTTGATTGACGTAGCGGGGGGCTCCGGAGCTTACGGTATGTATCTTACACGTGTGGCGCTTTTAGAACGCTGATAAACTTACGATAAACAGCAACGCTTGGGAGCCGCCTGTTCAAGACCCCTGCGCGATCGAAGACGGTGGGCTGTCTGGCTCTTGTGGGCTACGACTTTCCCGATGCTGTGCGAGAACAGCTAAAGTCCTGGCGGACCACTCTGCACGTAAACGTCTCGCAGGACAGACTGAGCACCAGAGGGCTTCTTGAGTACGAAGATGATACATTTGGACGTATGTGACTGCCTTGTTCTAGTGATAGACTTTTGCAGCTTACGATTGCCTAGCGAAGAAGTTCCGCTATACTACGGAGCCGTTGAAGCCATCACCAATCGATCTCGTAAACACAAATCTACTTGGCTCGGAAGCATTTCATCTCCTTGCACCGCCCGAGGTTGTCGAAACACAGATTCCAGAATTGATAAAGCTTCGCAGGCAACACGGGTTCAAAAACCGGCCATTCATAGTGTGGGAACCATTTCCAGCAGCTTGCACCACCCAGAACCGACCTTCATTCCTGAAAGCCTGCAGACTTGTGGATGTGTTTTCGCCCAATCACTTAGAAATGTCTACCATGCTCGAGGATTCACCCTGCGAAGGCTTTCAGCCTGGCCGACTGGAAACATATGCACTAGAGTTCAGCAAGGCAATCGGACCGAGCGGAAGCGGAATCGTTATTGTGAGAGCAGGTGAGCATGGCTCACTGACCACTCAACATGCAGCTAAAAGTGTATGGCTACCCCCATACTACGAACCATCGGCGGTCAAGGTTATCGACCCCACCGGTGGTGGCAACACGTATCTAGGCGGGTTTATTGCAGGCTGGAAAGCATCAGGAGATATTCATGAAGCTTCTATGTACGGTAACGTGGCTGCAAGTTTTGCTATCGAGCAGATCGGTTTGCCTTCTTGTGAAGTGAGCGATGGTGAAGAGATATGGAACGGTACTCGGGTAATGGAGCGTCTTGCTGAGTACAGAGCACGGCTCAGCTGCACAGGAAAGAAATGAGAAGAATATATCACACAGGTAGAAGATACCGTTGCAATGGTCGATTCGACTGCGCGTTTGGGAGATGTCTATCTAGATGACAAAGGTTTTGATCCTCCTTCACTCTCCCCAAGAAAGCCTCCCAGCCTTCATTCCGTTACGACTGAACAGATTTGAGCTGAGACGAAGTTCTTACCGCTACCACCGACTACATCGCGTCGTATCCCGGCTTTAACACAACCACGCACAAGTGAGGCTTCAGTCCGCGAACCCACAGCATCACGGAGAATACTCCGCCGAAATCTACTCGCAACCTAGCGTACCAAACTGCATACTAACGCTACTGTCTAGATGCCGCTGTAGAACGGAGATGCCGCTTTAGATTGGAGATGCCGCTGTAGATTGGAGATGCCGCTGTAGATTGGAAATACAGACTTCACCATTCCGTTCCCGAGAAGGGGATCCATGTAGCCGCGGGCTCAGCCCTGCCACCTCGTATCGAGCGCCTGTATAGTGTCTAGGAGGGATTCAACAGCTCTTGGTGTGACGATTCATAGCTCACGGACTAATCCCGCAGCCTCATCATGATGCAAGGCATCCTTCCCCTTCGCCTGCAGTAGATTCGGATATCGCTCGTGATGCGGCTGACAAGACTTGGGAGATATGGGGCAATGAGGCAATACGAAGCTGTGGGCGTCCCGTCCTCGCTATCAGTAGCGCGCGGATAGGTAATCCCGAGCGAGCGATTTACCACCATCTTACAACGCAAGACTATCAGAAGCTTGAAGATGCAGGATTCGCCATTCGAGGGGCTCATGGAGCAATGCCGCCACCCTTCATGCTGGGGAATGCCGGGTTCCTGTACATATGCTATTGCGTATCGTGCAGGAGGCTGAGGAGGCTCAGTAAGTCACGCGCCAGGGTTCCCAAAGGATGATAGTTGGATCGTCAAGCATGAGGGGTTGGTGAAGGCTTTGCAGCCGTATGCCTAGATCTCTCCCAAGAAATTCTGACAGGACTAATGCACGCACACATGCAGAAGTCTCAATCCCATGCGTCTCAGCTTTCCACTAGAGGATCGCAATGATCAGCGCTCTATCACGTTTGAGGATCCCATTGGGTACCGATTGGGTACCAGAAAACGCTACCCCACCGTTGGAACGTGCATCTCCAGGGCTTGTTTTGTAATCTGACAGAACGGGACGCTAAAATCGCCGATCACTCCTCAACTTCCCGCTCTTGCACGTTTGCCGTACTGCTGCCACGACCACCAACGTCAATAATACGTTGTCACGATACGTCTCTGGACGGTCAACACTCATGTCTTAGGCTCATGTTTGCTCGTTATTGGTACGCACTAAACGACATCATGGCGGCACGCATTCCGGTTTGACACGGATTCGAATACCGAATCGATGGAAGAATGTCTTTGCCGCTTTGTCTACTCAAGCAGGCCGCGATAGGTATTCAAGAGAGAAATATATAAATTTGTGAGTTCGTGGCTGTTTGTTAGGACGACCACATCCGGATGTCTCTTCAGAAACACTTCTAGTAGCACGTCTACTTTACGCAATATATACCAACAAAGAGAGCAACACTATCCTCACCACCATCGTAGCATTCCCACTTTACGATATTCTTTCAGAACGCATCCCTGATTCCAACCATGCCTTCTTTCCTTATGAGAACTTCACACGGTCTCATCAGCATCTACGACTCAAATCTCAAGAACGACCAGCCCGCCCTCCTTCTCCTACACGGCAACGCCTCATCCTCCAAACAATTCCGCCATATCATCGAGTCCCCCACCATCAACAAGGGCTGGCGCATCGTTACTCTAGACCTCCCCGGCCACGGCTGCTCGTCCAATGCCCCTGATGTCAAGACTACGTACTGTCATCGCGGCTACGCCGACCTCGTCATACGTGTCTTGCAGCACCTCAGAATCGAGTCTGTGGTGCTCATGGGCTGGAGTCTGGGTGGTCACATCGCGATCGAAATGCTTCCTTGTCTCGCTCATGACGATCCTCCCATGGTGGAAGATGCTCCTCGGATCAGCGTCAAAGGGCTTATGCTTATCGGTACCCCTCCCTCGCGTGGCGCCGAGCAGATGGCTCAAGCGTTCAAGATGCCGGCTGGTGGTCTTACATTCGCGGGGAACAGGAATTGGGTCAATCTGGAGGCTGAGCTGTATTTGAGACACGGCGTGGCAGCGGGCAAGGAAGAGTTCTATGAGAGGTGGATGTTGGAGGATGCGAAGCGGACGGATGGGCGCGCGACAGTCTTCATAGCTGATGCCGCGACTGGGACGAAGGACTGCCCGCCTAAGGGTTGCGATCAGAAGCGTGTGGTGGAGGCGACAGATGTGTGGATCGCGGTCGTGAACGGAGTGGAAGATCAGTTTGTCAACCTGGACTATATCGACGAGGAGGTGAAGTGGAAAAGGCTCTGGAGGGGTGAGTGCTTGGGCTTATCTGGGCTCGGGCATGCGCCATTTTGGGAAGATGCGGCAGGGTTTGAGAAGGTGTTGGAGGAGTTCTTGGACGATTGTGAGGAGTGGGAGGGTTCGGATTGTGATTCTGCTGTAGGTATTTAGTCTACCATATTCATGGTTTCCTCATGTACGCAAGTCACTGATACCTAATTCATATGTAGTTTCCGCTACTTTTTCTTGTTGAATGTGCTGGTGGCATAACGCAGGCACGACGCGGCTGAGTAACACCGTAAGTAATCGCAATGCAGGTGTATTTCCCAAACACCTTTGCCCACAGTATGCAGCAGGTAGTGTCCGCTACAATTCCATCATAATCGTGAGTATGTGCATTGGAACGCCACATCGCATACCATAACGTCCACTAATTGCTGACAACCATCTCGATACGAGGACATGTGATCGCAAGTTCGCTTCTGGCGAGGTATGGATGGGGCGTAACTAGTCAGTGTCCATGGAAGCGCTAGGTCTACCATTCCGAAAGCTAGATCCCTGCACACGTCCCGCCTGATCTACGCATGTCTGATCTAATTCTTACGACCTAGCAGGGCGTAGTCCCACTCCTCTTGGTACTTTCGGAAGAAATCCCGCTCACCAATAAGGTGCTTGCCCATGAACGCTTCCCAATGCTCGCGCTTTTCCCCACCCTGAGTCATGGCCTCGAGCTCTCGCGCTCTCCGCATGCGAACCAACTTCTCCGCGGTCTGCTTCAGCATCTCACGCGGGGCGGCATATTCGTTGACACTCTTATCAGGCCCCTGGCGATTCAGATATGCTTCGGTAGCCGTGCGTATAGTGTCAAAGGTTTTTCCACCTGGAACAGCCCGAGTTATGCCTTCTGAGAGGACCCCTCCGCGTTCCCACTGATCTGCTCTCATCTTCTCCAAGCCGTCTGTGACTTCGAAGCGTTTGTACCATGTATGTCCGCCCCTGGCAATGGTGCGCATCATTTCGTGCCGGTCTTGGCCAGCCGAATATTTGATCAGCACGTTTTTGAACACCGCTAATCTGTCTGCGAATTTAGTCAAGCTGGACAGACCAGACGTTATCATTCCTGATTTGGCGATGTCATCGGGAGTTGATTTAGTATGACCAGCACCAATGGACAGTAGAAGACTGGGCTGGTTGTCGTCTCCCGAAAGTGAGGCAGCTTCAGAATAAGCACAATAGCTAGGGTTATTCTCCCGTATTCCACCGTCTTTCATGCCCACATGACCCTCAGGACCGGTGGCCACTAACATTTCGAACAAGGATGGTGTAGCGGTAGTCGCACGACCGACCTGCCAGATTCTAAGGTCGAGAGTATCTTCGTTGTATTTAGTGACCCAAGGAGGGCATATATCCGGGTCATAGTGATGGGTGTATGTGCGCAACATATATGCCTCGTCTACCTGCCCTGAGTGGACAGTGGTTACGCATATTCTGAGCGTTGTCAGCGGCTTCCAGATCTCCATTGGATAAGCATGCCCTCGTATGAAGAGCTCTTTCACTTCGGCTGTATTATTGCGGTGTACTCACGTTTGGCAAAGGTGATATTCTGGAGTATCTGGCTCGAGCGCATGGAGTTTGGATTCCTTGGAGGGAGGATCTCGCCGTACGCCCAGATCGTCCAAAACTGCTGAATCGTGCGAATCGTCTTCATAACCATTAGTCCCATAGCCTGGCGGGCGCCAGCGAAACTTTGATCGATTCAGCCAATGCTGTTTGCAATTGCTTAAGGCCATGTCCATGAGGGAAAACTCGAGTGACTCATGGTGATACTTTGTGGCAAGAGGAATGCCTCGGATTTCTCCGTACATATCATCGAGAAGGCTTATGAACACGTAGATCGTTTTACTTACGGTCATGCGAAGCCGACTCAGTGCGATAGCTAAAATACTGGTGCGTTCTGTTAGCATGAGTTGATATGAGATGACAGCTAAACTGTGGTGGAAGCTTGTGTAAAGTACACATCCAAGAGGCATTACTAACCCTCCTGTTGATGTACCGTACATCTTATGGAAATAGTGGCATGGACGGAATTCGGAAGTCTCGAAGTTCCTGGGATAGTGTGTAAATGCTCGCTCAAATCTGTTCTCACAAGCTATGACCTCTTCCATGAGTGCCTCAATGATCAGAATGCTTGAATACGATTTGACCCCACCCCCATCTGATACCCGTGTCAGCGACCGCTCCGCGACTACTAATGAGGAGACTAACCAAGAGTCAGTATACATGTCCCTGTTCCTTCTTCTACCGATCTTGTCCAGTCGATATCTGACATATATGGTTTGCCATCGCCGTACAGAGCAGGCAACGATGCGTTATCGTCGGAAACCGAGTTTTCCACATCGGGATCAACGTAAATGTTGTATTCCTCGGATAAACGCAATGTTCTACCCGTCATCGTTATATTTGACGCTTCAGGTGGCGTAGGGTCCGGTTTAGCTAGGGCTCGCTCAGAAACAAGCTCTTCCACTGACGCCACTATCAGGGCATAGTTATCTCGCACATATCCAGTGGTGAATCGTTCGCGTAGAGCTTTCTCAATCTCTTGCCATATCTTCCGTTCAACATATGGAATAGAGAAAGCCGTAAAGAAGCTGCGGATAGAGGAAGCGTCATCTGAACTTTGGTGGTTATTCATCAGCTGAGTAACTGCCTCCTTAATAGCCTCAGAGTCTTTTGCGGTCTTACGACTGTTGACATTGCCGAGGTGCATTTGCAGACTCATTAGCCTCGACCTTACGTCCACCACGTCCTGACTGAACGAAGCGGTAATCACATAGGTCCCATTTCCATCTCGCCCCAACGAGTTCTCCAGCTGTTTGAGCTCGCTTGAGATTGAAGCGCATTCCCGAGAAACCCTTTCACGGAGTGAATCGCTTGCGAAGACACTCGCATTTAGCTCTCTCACATAGTCCTCAGTGAATTCGGCAGCTGCACTCAGAGCCTCCAGGCTACCGAGAAACTTGTCGGAGGCATCTGCTCCAATGCAACGACTACTCAAACGTTCAGTAGCTTGCCGTATTTCGGTGATCTGGTTGATAGTGATATCTCTGCCTGCCGTAATGTCGCCTTGGAAGACGGCGCCACCCCCGCTATCCACGGTTCGGTTCGGTGGGTCCATTCGTGCTCAAAGACCTTGGCTAAGATCTCGCAATCATCCGGAAAAATATTGAGAGCCCGGCGGCGACATGCAACTCATAGATGGGCTTCGGTAACATGTAAGATGGAAGTAGTCTTCTGGAGGTACTCAGAAGGCGGGGTAAGGCTAAGAGCCTATCGCACACCTCACAGCCCGCTTGGTCCCGAGGTCAGCTCAGCTGCGGCTGAAGCAAGGCAGATGCTGGCCCGCCATCGGTCTGCTCGAAACCTTCCTCAGCCTGTCTCGCATTGCGTCGGGAGCTGTGAGCATGCCAGAAACAAATGTTTTTCGCAGTTTGAAGGCCAGAAGGAAAAAAAAGAAAGGGTTAGAAAACGACAATGACGAAGAGGAGCCTACCGGAGAGCTTTTCAGCACGGCAGGCGACTACGGACTCAGAACAGTAGCGGAAGGAGAGACTGACACCGTAGAGTAGGCGCCCAGCCTAATTATCAGAATACACTTAACACTCTTCTTAGTATCGTATTTGTCCACGGCCTCACTGGCAATCGCGAATCAACCTGGACGCACAAGAACTCGATCTTCTGGCCGAAAGATCTCCTAGCAAAGGACCTCCAGAACGTGCGCATCTTCACCTTCGGATACGACGCGGATGTAGTCAAGCTGCTCAAAATCGCTGGTGGAAACATGGTGCGCGACCATGGGAAGTCTCTGGCCCAAGACCTTTCTTTGCGAAGAGCAGAAACGAACACAGTACAACCACCATCACAACGCCGCTTTACCAGCTAACCGTACTAGACCTCACGACCGGTGATCTTCGTAGCCCACAGCCTCGGCGGCCTCGTCGTCGAACAAGCCCTCCTGATCTCCCGCGGTACCTCCGAACACCATGTAAAAACCCTCCTCATCAACACCACCGCGATAGCATTCATGGGAACCCCCCAACTCGGCTCAGGCAAAGCAGACAGGGCCCGTCCTCTCAACCAACTCATTTCCCTGGTCCGAAGGACGAACAAAGGAATCCTTGCAGTTCTAGAGCCTGGGTCAGCAATGTCCCTTACAGCCTATACGTGAGACAAACACTGACTTGTTACACCCATCTTTAGGTCCGAAATGCTAGCACAACTCCAACAAGATTTCTTCAGCATGCTCGAAGACCGACGTCGGAACGAAGGGAAATGGATCGAGATATTCTCCTTTTACGAGGAGTTGAGCTACGTGGGCATAGGAGATATCGTCCCACGTCAGTCGGCTATTCTGCCTGAGTACCCCAATGCCGCTATCCATCAGAATCATTCGGACATGACCAAATTTAGTGGGGCGACGGATCCGGGTTATGTAAGAGTCAAGGGGCAGTTGTGGTTGTGGGTCGATGCAATCAACAAAAGAGAGCTTAGTGCCACTGCGACAATTCCAGTCCAAACTGATTCCGACGAACGGACACTAGTCTCGCAGACGAACGAGTCAGAGCAAGCATCCGTTGTACCAGTGGAAGCGGAAGTGTCTGCACCGGTAGACTCGGGAGAAAGGCAATCGGCGCAGAGGGAAGCGGAAGTGTCTGCACTGGCAGACTCGGGAGAAAGGCAACCGGCGCAAAGTGAATCGGAAGTGTCTGAATCGGCAAACTCAGGAGAAAGGCAACCGGCGCAGAGGGAAGAGAAAACTAAGAGCAGTCAAGCTGGTGCTATTTCATCTCGAGGCGGCCCAATCTTCATGGGTAATGTTAGTGCTGGGCGCGACTTTAGATACACTCAACACTGATCCTGAGAAAAAAAACTCAAGCGCATCAGGATCCAGCATTAATCGTGACCGCTGACCATGACGCAACCACCCCTCCCCATCTGTTGTTACCTTGGTTATAGCCCACACTTGATTCTAGAGACACACCATGCAACACGTGCGCAGATAAAGCTTGCGCATTGGTAACACGTAAGACCTTTACCTCTTCCCCAGCCTCTCTTCTCCGAATTAACGTTTCGGAATATGTTACTGCTAAACCTAATTGCGACTTTCGTTATGCTCAATACTCATCTTAACATACACATTTGGCTATAACATCCACTGCCTTTCATCCAACTCTGACCCCATCTAAGCGGTCGAATCTCCATGGGGAGTGCTAGTGCTAGGGTTGGCTTGAGTATCATCAACATCAAAGTGAGGTCACGATGCCTTCCACTCCTCCGCTGGTTGCCTCACTTCATTCGAGGATGTAGTGAAGGAGAGAGTGCTTACAGCCATATACCTACCAGCGATCCAAGCAACGCCAAAGCCCCCCACTGAACAAAGAAGATAAAGAACCAACGTGAGTTCCACAACCCACCCGTCCAACGCGACATCTTGTCAAAGCCAAGTGCCTAGAGGAAAACGCATCACCTAGATGTTACCCCAACAGCACTCGCAGCGATTTGCCCTATAGTGAGTATCAGGACAACGTACCCCACTAACGCTTCACGGGGTGTTGTTTCATGGAAAGGGCCAGTCCACAAGCAACAAGCTCTTGTATGCAGCCCACAAGAATATTTGATGTAGACCCAAAAACAAAGTTCATGATGGATGGCGAAGATAGATCGATTTGCGTCTAATCGAGCCAGTCTACTTCTTCTTCTCCTCTTCGTCGTCCTCATCATCATCTTCTTCTTCTTCTTCCTCGTCGCTATCATCTTCATCTTCGTCGTCGTCGTCCTCATCATCATCTTCCGCATCCGACACTTCTTCCCCGAGAGCCTTAAGTCGTTCCTACAATCATTAGTCCCACATCCATACCAATCACCACACGAAACAAGAAGACTCACCTTATCTTTCGTCCTCTTCTCCTCGAGATCAGCCAGCACCATAATAAGATCTTCCAACTCAGTCGCCTTCTCCTTCTCCGCCTCTTCCGCTTTACGCAACTTCTCTTTGAGGTCTTTGAGTTCCTTTTCACTTGCACCCCCAGCGCCAGCCTTACCTTTCTGGTTGGTGGACTTGGCGGCAGCAGCGGCGGCTTCAGCTTTCCGTAATTTCTCCTCTGCTTCTTTGACCTTCCAAGTCGAATCTTGAGCCTTGGTTTTAAGATCCTGGTTCTCGGCTTTGAGTTTATCGATGGTAGATTGAAGAATTTCCTTGTCGGATGTGGATTGCTTGAGCTGGGTTTCGAGTGTGAATTTGGACTTCTCAGTTTCTTCTTTGAGCTGCTTGAGTTGAGTCTCTTTCTCCTCTTCCAGCTCTCTGAGTTGCGTCTCCTTTTCTTCTGTGAGGAGCTGGAGCTGCGCTTCGCTGTTTTGGACGTGCGTTTGTGCGTTGCGCAGGGTTTCGGTGATGGTGGCGACTTCGGTGCGGGTTTGTATGAGTGTATGTTCGAGGTTACGGATGTTCTCAATGGCTTCTTGG